GCATACAGGAGAAAACAAGGAAGAAGGTCTTGAATGAAAGAGGTAGTTGAACAGTGATCTGCATTTATTAGAAGTGGATGCTAATCTGGAGGAGATAGCAGGGGACAAAATAACATGAAGGGCAATAGTTGCAGTGGTCAAGGACCACAATAGAATTCCCATACCAGAGAAAAAAGTGAGTATGACATTATAAGCACATTAGTAAACTGAAAAGGTTAACCTTATGCTAATAGAATATATTTACGAAAGATAACAATTAAAAAATTAAGATTTCAATACATTTTTTGAAAACCTAATAAAAACACTTACATGCTGTAAGAGGTACAACGCCTAGCCAAGCAAAAGCCACGAGAGTGTAATGTAGCCAGTATCGTATTGCCGTACCAAGGCTCGTAAGAAGACCACTGAAGATATCTTTTACTGGCAACCTCTGGGGCATATCTGGGGAATAAACTTGATAAAAAGAAAAAAGTAAAACATAGACTAACATATGACACTGAAACACACTTACCTTTCAAACATCATTACAATTACTCCTCCAATCAAACATCAGTACTATTACTCCTCCAGTCAAACATCAGTACTATTAGTCCTCTAATCAAACATCAGTACTATTACTCCTCTAATCAAACATCAGTACTATTACTCCTCTAATCAAACATCAGTACTATCACTCCTCTAATCAAACATCGTTACTATTACTCTTCTAATCAAACATCGTTACTATTACTCCTCTAATCAAACATCGTTTCTATTACTCCTCTAATCAAACATCATTACTATCACTCCTCTAATCAAACATCATTACTATTACTCCTCCAATCAAACATCATTACTATTACTCCTCCAATCAAACATCGTTACTATTACTCCTCTAATCAAACATCGTTACTATTACTCCTCTAATCAAACATCATTACTATCACTCCTCTAATTAAACATCGTTACTATTACTCCTCTAATCAAACATCGTTACTATTACTCCTCTAATCAAACATCATTACTATCACTCCTCTAATCAAACATCGTTACA